GAAGCACTGGGATACCCGGCTCCCAAGCTCCCAGGGCCATCAGCAGCTGGCCTGGTGGCTGCCCCGGAGCCGGGGCTCCCAGGCGCTCCTGACTCCACGGCACCTGCCTGGATAGGCAGCCGGGACTAAGCACATTTCATTTCTCACACACACACGCATTCCTGCAGCTCGGTGTGTCCCAAACCAAGTATTGCGGGGTTCAAGTTGTGGGGAACATTTCCAGTTTTTGTTTTTTTGTCCCAATTCGGGACAAACTTTTTTCCAAAAACTCGAATATTTTTTGTGAACTTTGAATTCCACTTTCCCGCCACTGTTAGTTTAGATCCCTCCGCTGGCGTCCCCCTGCGCCTGGGGCCCGGCTCACGCACCCCTTCTCTCTTGGTCCCCGCAGACACTGCGGAGCCGGCTGTGCCGCACCACGGGGAGGCGGAGGCACCTGTCAAAGCAGCTCCAACGCCCAAGGCCTCACCAAGTCGACTCAAGAGGAAAGCGCCCCAGAGCCCTGGCCGGAAGAGAAAGAAACCCTCTCTGGATGGAGAAGAGCCAGCAGCCCCCTCTGAGGGTGGGAAACAGCAGCTCCCCACCTGTCCCATGGACATGCAACAGCCGCTTCCTTCTGTGCGCATGCAAAAGCCTTTCCTTCCTGTACACAGGAAACAGCCACCGCCTGTTGTGCACAGGGAACATCTTGTCCCTCCTGTGTGCCCGGAACAGCCGCCCCCTCCCCTGAGCAGGGAACAGCCGCCCCCTCCCCTGAGCAGGGAACAGCCGCCCTCCACTCCTGGCAGGGAACAGCCGCCCCCTCCCCTGCGCAGGGAACAGCCGCCCTCCACTCCTGGCAGGGAACAGTCGCCCTCCACTCCTGGCAGGGAACAGCCGCCCCCTCCCCTGAGCAGAGAACAGCCTGTCTCTCCCATGCGCAGGGAACAGCCGCTGGCCCCTCCTGTACGCAGGGAACAGCCGCCCCCTCCCCTGCCCAGAGAACAGCCTGTCTCCCCCCTGCGCAGGGAACAGCTGCCCCCTCCTGTACGAAGGGAACAGCCGCCCCCTACCGAGCTGCCTCACCTGCCGTCCCTGTCTAAGTCCTGCAGCAAGGAGCCAGCAGAACAAGATTCCCCTCCCAGCAGGAGCCCGCCCCCCTCTGAGAAGTCCTACCAGTGCCCCTTGTGTAGTCAGAACTTCAGACAGAGCTCGGACCTGCAGCGGCACCGGCGCATCCACACGGGCGAGAAGCCTTTCCACTGCCCGGTGTGCGAGAAGAGCTTCCGGCTGCAGTCCAACCTGATCGTGCACCAGCGCACCCACACCGGGGAGCGGCCCTACCAGTGCGGGGAGTGCGGCCGCGCCTTCTCGCAGAGCTCCAACCTCCTGACCCACAGCAAGATCCACCTGGGCCAGAAGCCCTACGCCTGCTTCGAGTGCGGCAAGAGCTTCCACCACAGCTCCAACCTCATCATCCACCAGCGCACCCACACCGGCGAGCGGCCCTACGAGTGCAGCGTCTGCGCCAAGCGCTTCAGCGACCGCTCCACCCTGGTGCAGCACCGGCGCCTCCACACAGGCGAGCGCCCCTACGCCTGCTCCGAGTGCGGCAAGTGCTTCAGCCAGGCCTCACACCTGGTCAAACACCGACGCACCCACGCAGGCCCCTGCACCAAGAATAGCGCTGCCCCCAGAAAAGCACCAGTCACAGCGGTGGAGAGAAACAGCCCCAACAATGGGGCAGCCATTGGGGACAAGAGAGCTACCCCCACTCATGGGCTGAGTGAGAGGACTGCCACGCCCCAAAATGGAGCAGCTATAGGGGAGGAAAGAGCAGCCCTGAAAGATACACCCACTGTGGGGAAGGGTAGAGCCACCCAGGAAGTGGGTTCAGAGGGGGAGAAGGACAAAGCAACTCAGAAAGTTGCTTTGGCCACAAAGAAGATTGCCGCCCCCAAACACACGCTGGCCATGGGGATGGAGAGGGTGGCAACGAAGGACCCGCTGGCCGCAGGGAAGGAAAGGGGGACCCCCACACCTGGGCTGGGTGAGTTGAGAGCTGCCCCCATAAACAGGCTGGGCACAGGGGAGGACAGAGCCCCTCCAAAAGATGTGCCAGCCATGGGGGGAAAGAGAGCACTGACTCCAGGTGCACCAGCCGTGCATGAGGAGAGAGATGCCCTGAAAGATGCACTGAGGGCCGGGAAGGACAAACCAGCCACAAACCACACATCAGCTGTGGAGAAGGGGAGAACCGCCCCCAAACTCGCGCTGGCCATGAGGCAGGGAAGAGCCGGCCCCAAACACACACTGGCCACGGAGAAGCGGGGAGCCAGCCCCAAACACACACTGGCCACGGGGAAAGGGAGAGCCGGCCCTGAACACGCATTGGCCACGGGGAAGGAGAAAGCCAGCTGCAAACACGCACTGGCCACGGGGAAAGGGAGAGCCGGCCC